CCAAGCAACTATACTTGTTGTAATCTTATTGGCTGACCACGTTTTTGTCCCACCCCACACCCATCCTGTGTTTTTTTCCATTGGATCAATATTTCCTAAGTGAATATACCTGTAATCTTATTGACTGGTTATAGTTCTGTGCCACCTTAAACCCACCTCATCTCATCGCTTTGCTCAATAAACCCCCTTGAGTGGTAGGGTTGGTGGGCAACCCACTTTCCAGGCCTCCTTCTGTCCCTCTTAAAAGCTTTCTTTCTCTTAACAAATTCTTCCTACTCTTAACCTCTGTTGTTCCTAGAATTCATTGCTCTATTTTAGAAAACATTTACTCCACATTTCGGACATCTAGCCGGTTGAGAGTTACATTTCCCCTGTATCACCTATTTATTCCCCAAAATCCCTTTGTTCTTTCCATGTACCCTTGCTACAAGACCCACTTCCCTACTGGATCAATATTAGCTAAGCTGCTACACTTGTAATCCTATTGGTTGATTTTAGTTTGACTTATGTTGTACCCAGGCTGTGCCGTTGCTGTATGAATTACCCCTGACCAAGAGCCTCAGTGTTACAGGCAGCTGAGTTAGGTGGAAATATTATAGGCAGTCAGACAGGGCCAGGCCTCAAAGGAGCCAATGTGAAAGACAAGATAAGATACATATTTGCTGTGGGCCAGACCTCATGACAAAAGATTAAACAAATGCACCCACATACCTCCCTTGGGATGGACAGCAGGGATTGATACTCTAAATAGGTAGGGATCACCTTGAAGAGTCCCTGACCCAAACCCTTACAGGAAAAGCCCCTTTTCTGTATTCATGCCTGCTTGCTACGTGACTCGCTTCCCCATTTGATCCCAATTTGATTAATTTTACCTGAACAATCCTTTTTTTTCTTGCAGTACCGGGGATCAAACTCATGACCTTGCATTTGCCAGGCAGGTGCTTATGCCACTGAGCTATATCCCCAGCCCTACCTGAACAATCCTTATTGGCTGACCATAGTTTTTGTTCATTTTCCCCCTACCTTGGACCCACCTCACCTCGTGGTCTTGCTCTACAAAAGTCCCTAGGAAGGACAAAGTCTTGGGCAACCCACTCGGCCCCCTTCCGTCTCTCTGTTGGACAGAAGCTTCCTTGCCATCAATAAGTATATTCTGCTGTTAACCTCCATTGTTCCTAAAATTCATTCTTTGATTTTAGAGAACACGAACTTGTCCCAGGTACCATTCAGGTCGGGAGTTTTTATTTTCCTGTATCAACCAGGCTATACTTGTAATCTTATTAGCTGACCATAGTTTTGTCCTGCCTCATGCCCACCTTGAAATTTCCCATTTTTCCCCACCTTAGACCCATCTCACTTCGTGGTTTTGCTCTATAAAATCCCTAGAAAAGGCAGGTTCCTGGACAACCCACTTGGGCCCCCTCTGTCCCTCTCTCGGACGGAAGCTTTCTTTCCCTCAATAAATATATT